CATCACTTCGACCCTTGCGGATCAAAGAGCAATAATGGATCCCTCTCACAGATCCTCCAGGCACCACAGCACTCCAGAAACCGCTTTTCAAGATTAAATATTCCCACTCAAGCTCTTCTCCAGGTATAGGTGAAATATCAATCTCTCAGAACAAAACAGAGGAATCCTCCCATAGTGTAGTATATTTATTATACCATAGGAACATAGGAACATAAAACTTTAGTGAAAATTCCACTTACATAGCCGCCAGTCCATATGAGACCCTCATGCTCTCAGATGAGGATATATATTTATATATATTTTTGTTTTTGTTTTTTTTTTCATACATATATAACCAGACTAATTCACTCTGTAGCAGAAGTGGCCAGAGTTTTAAATGGTGAAAGCAATTATACAAATGAGTTTTTGAAAATAATAGAACAGTAAGTAAAGATAAGCTGTATTTGAAATATAGAAAAGATGAACAACAATTTAAACTATCTTTATTTCACAGCATTGAAAGGAGACATCACACCATACTGTTACATGAAAGGAACACTGCACCTCAATTAATGTTAGTCCACCAGCAATTATAGTTATAGGTTTGTGTCTTTTGAAGATCTCAATAGTGATTTCTGTCAAATGTACTGGTTATGTTACCATCCACATCAGAGTTGTTTGTTTTACCATCCAAAAAAAATTACTTGAAGACCAACCAGCATCCATTGCATCTATTTTGGTATTACTGTAAACAAACATTTAACAAGTATGGGGATCTGCAGTATTTCCTCTTGTGGCATGAGGTAAAGGAAGGGTTCTCTTTATTTAATAAGAATTGCCAATGCAGTCCTTCCTGCAGAATTAAGGAAAAACTAAACAAACATTTAATATCTTGTACTTTACCATTTCTTGGATGTGGTGGCTACATTACTTCTTTTTCAGGTTTAGAAACTTTTTTTGCAACAACAGAAATACCTATTGGCTTTGCCAGGAATGTTTGATGGTCAGCTTGGGTTTCAAGCATGGCTAAATTCAACCATCACATATATGGACTGGTAAGCTGCATCACATTTTTGGGTTTAGATATGCTTTAAAGATATGAACAGGGAAAACCCTAATATAAAACAAAAACCTATACAGCCATGGAAGGACAGAGAACATTTGCCCTGGGAGGAAAACAACAAACAATTGTCTGTTTCCCAATAGGCTTATCACGTACCTGGTGACAGAGACCAATGGAGAGAGAGGGCTTTGCTTGCGGCTAAGTTCCAGACTTCCCTGAAGGTGGGACAGCAGGAGTCAGGCCCAGAGTAGCACAGGTCGCCTGTGGGAGTGCTTGTTTGGTGGTCCACCCAGGAGCACGGCTGATGTGCTGAGATGGGGGTCTGCAGGCAGGGAGTGCCAGTGCGAGGTATGCAGGTAACAGAGGATCACAGGATAACCAGTCCGAGCAAGGTCGGCTGTCAGGTGGGGATCGGAGCAGACATAGTCAAAAGGGATAGCCGAGGTCATACACAGAGAGCAGGAGAGATCTGTTAGACAATCCGGGGTTAGGTCGGGGTTAAACAGAGCAGACAGGTCCAGGAGCAAGCTGAGTCGTTAACAGGAAATCACAAGTCAGGATAGCAACGGAACAAAGGTACTAGGGAGCCAGAGATCATCCAGCACCTGAGAGTAGTGCAGGGCTTCCTTATAAAGGCCGTTTGGCACCAAATTTGAGCCGATGTGAACTTCTGCGGCCATGCAAGGTACTGGCAGGGGTGCCAGGTCTACTAACACCTCTGCTGAGGACAGAGTCCTGACAAGGCTACACATATCTGCAAGTCTGCACCATGCTGATTTTTAGCTTCTAGGCTTCTTCTTCTTCATAAGCACAGTACAGTGAAGCAACACTTCAATTTTAATGTCATCAGTCAAGGAATAAGAGCATTACATGATCCACAGACCTACCATGATCCTGGACATGTGTTTGATGCCAGCACTGACCCCCTACCATATTGTTTCCCCCGAGTAGTTAATTGGTGTCAACCCCATTCTGGACTCGTCTAACAAGTACAACTCTCTGGGCAACATTATAAAAAGCCTGTCAATACATATACTGGTTTACATTAATAACTACTCTATCTTTAAAAAACCATAGCATGTAAATCACACGTTCACGTAACAACCACAGTGCAAATTTCATAGTAAAGGGATGAACAGAAAAAAGTCTGCTAGGTGCTTCCAACTGCTTGTAAAATGTTCATGCAAGCTGTACAAAGTGGCTGTGTAAGTGAACAGCTCTGCCACTTGTCTCTATTATCCAGTCTTCCCTACAGTGTAAACTGCTTTGAACCCTGTTACACTTAACTACCTTTGTCCCTGCTTCAGGGGATGCCAAAGGAGAAATCCTCAGCTCTCCTTAGATGTACTGGTGATTCCAGATCACATCAGAGCAGCACAGCTACCTGCTCTGCTGCTAGCCTAGACATAGCTACATAAAAAGACTCTGAGGATCCTGCTTCTTTGGAAGAGTTACACAGTGGTAATGGCTGCTACTTTGAGCTGCCAGGCTGCTCTGACTGCTAAGATAGAACATCTGCAAACAGAAACAGGCCTGATCCGCAGGGATTTGGACACATTACAGAAGCGCTTCACCACTGCTGAAGAGAATGTGAGCAATGTGGAAGATGTAGTTCATGACCACACAGTTTACCTGCGTACCCTGCAAACTAAAATGAAACCTCTGGAGGTCAGAGTGAAGCACACCAAAAAACATGCACAACAATCTAAGCATAGTGGGGCTTCCCAAGGGTGCTGGAGGACAAGATCCTACCATATTCACAGAAAATATTCTTCTCATCCTCCTGCATCAAGTTACATTTTCTGGCTTCTTTACAGTAGAGAGGGCATACTGCAGGCCTGCAGCTTGTGGCCCCCCGGGGGCACCACCATGTACTTTCATCTACAACCTTCTCTAAACGTCAGAGACTATAACACCATCCTCATGGAAGCTAGGAAAGTGGGGAAACTTAAGTACAAAAACATTAAGCTACTGATCTTGCAAGATTATTCACTTGATACCCTGCACTCAAACAGAATGCTTGATTAAGTGGTAAGGCTATTTCATACAGTATACTTTTCCCTGCCAAACTTTGTGTTCAGGATGGGGATGCCACAAGGTTTTTCATGCAGTTCACTGGCTAGAGGCAGTGCATCACTTGTAAGCTTGGCCATGTCTGCCATCTTTTGATCATCTACCACAGGGGTGTTTTTTTCCCCGGAACTTTATAATGATAATTTTTTATCATTCTAAGCCTTGGTTTCCATTCTCCTGTTGATGCTGGGCTTGAATCTGGGCCCACACACCACTCTACCTGATCTGATGATTGTTAATCCTTATAGCAAGAGTCAAGAGATCATTACCCTGCAAGTTATGGATATGATGCTGCAATAAAAAGATGCAGAAAGAATGAGGGCGCACCGGCCTGTTGCATTATCCTCAAAGCTTTATTTTACTGATAAAAATGTAGTAACATACTCACAAACCAACTGAAATATCACAACTTGTCATAAAAGAACCACAAGTGCCAGCCTGCGGAACATAACCATTGAAGGTAGAACATGAAAGGACCCAACTGGCTGACGCATTTCAAGGCATTGCCTCTTCCTCAGAGTTGGCCTCGAAACAGCGGATGTTTGAACAGGCTGAGGCTCGAGATCAGCAGTCGGAATCCCAATATGTCCAAACCAGGATCTCCACTGTGTATGAGGAGATACAAGGCACATACAGAGAGGTCCTATTGCTTCATATTGAGGCTGCAAAGAAAAAGCAGTTGTATCAGACCCAACAAATTTTTGAAAAAGGTGAAAAAATAGTTAATTCCTAGCCTGGTTAGCAAGGGAACAGTCCTCCACTTGCTGTATTGCTCATATTAGGGAGCTGAGTGGTACTCTACAGGTAGACAATGTGTCAATGAAATGCCTTTTTGCTATTAACAGATGCTATACTCTTCCAGGACTCAATATGACCAAACAGCTTTACTCCACTATCTGGACACTATTGGTTTTCCTACTTTGTCCAGTACCCAAAGGGCAGCTTGGGATGCACCAATGGCCTTCCTATTGAGTTCTTTAAACATTATGCTGAGAAGCAACTAGCAGGATACTTCCAGCCTCCATGAGGGAAGCTGTTACTCTGGTTAACCCTAAGTCAGGGAAGGACCCACCCTTCTGCACTTCATAATGACCCATCTCACTTTAAAATGCAGATGCTAAGAGCCTCACAAAGATTCTTACCCACGGGCTATCTATCCTATACCTTGATCCACAAGGAGAAAACTCCTCTTATGTCATACAAGAGGACTGACATAAATATCCATTATTTATTCACAAATATTTTGATAGCCAGCTCTTCTGACAGACCAGGCATTGTCCTGTCTTTTGACTAATAGAAGGTCTTCAATTCAGTAGAGTGGCCTTTCTTTGGGAGGTTCTTTGTAAAAATGGGTTTGGACCCAATTTCATCTCTTGGATAAAAACTTTGTCATTTGAACTCCACAGGGATGCTAGGTATTGTTGCCATCTTTCCTCTGGATTATTTGCCCTAGCCCTGGATTTTTTGATTTTATAGGCTGACCCTACCATCTGAGGTATCCAAATAGATTCATGGTAGAATAGAGGTGATTGTAGCCATAATAGTGCATTTGCGACAGAAACAATTGAGTACTGTCCGTGATACTTTTTTTTATTTGCACTAACATACAATTTTGAGGACAAGCTTTCGGGGAGTGTCCCCTTCTTCAAGGTCCAAGCAGTACTATACAAATCACAAAGTTTTAGCAGAATGTTAGAAAAGATGAAAAAAAAAAAGAGACTAGAGATAAGACACAGCAAAAGCAAAGGGGGGGGAGAAAACACTCACACAGAGGGAGTCAAGCTTGAGCTGATAGTCATAAAACTGTTGGATAATGATTGAGGAATCCCATGTTCAAATTAAGGCCGTTATCTCTTGTGTCAAATAGAATTATCATTCTTAGTTCAAAAGTTTTTCTTTCCTGAAAGGATTTGAAATTTCCTTTAAGAACTAAAATATTGAGGTCTCCCATTGTGTGGTCTGGTTGTGCAAAATGGTGTCCCACAGGTGTGCAGAAGTCATCTTCTTTATGTTCCTTGATGGTATGTCTGTGCAAATTCATCCTTGTTTGCAACGCTGACCTGTTTCGCCAACATAAGATCCTTTGCTGCATTTTCTGCACTGGATAAGGTACACAACATTACTACAGGTGCAGCTGTATGATCCGGAAATATAAGACATCTATCTTCAATGTATGGGTACTGCGATGGGAAGTAAAATGGCACCCCAATATGCCAATTTATTTATGGCTGACCTGGAGGAAAAATTCCTGAACAGCATGGAACAAAAACCATACAGATACTATCGCTACATTGATGATATTTTCATCATATGGACAGAAGGTGAAGAAAACCTAAAACAATTTTACTCATTGATCAACACTTTTCATCCATCAATCAAACTAAAAATGGAATACTCAAACACACACGTCAACTTCCTAGACACCACAGTATACATCAGGGATGATACGCTTCACACCTCAATATACAGGAAACCCACTGACAGATGCAACTACCTCCACAGTTCTAGCTTCCACCCCCAACACACAAAACGTGCCATCATACACAGTCAGGCCATTAGATACCACTGAATATGTTCTGACCCAAGAGACAGAGATAAACATCTCGGGACACTAGTAGATGCCTTCCATAAGAAAGGTTACAAGGACAAAACTATCAACACCAGCATAAACATAGCCTTGAGAACCCGAAGAGAAAATCTACTTCAGTACAAAGAGAAAAAAAACAAACAACCGTGTACCTCTAGTAACCACATACAACCCAGCACTAGAAGGAATAAGAAAATAATCAAAGATTTACAACCCATCATAACAGAGGATGGAACTCTGAAATAAATATTCCAGCAACCCCCAATACTGGCTTTCAGACAACCCCCCAACCTCAGAAATAAACTAATCAGTAGGAAACTTCCTTCTGTTCAAGATGTCACAAATAATGGAAGCAAACCCTGCAATAAAAAACGCTGCAAACTGTGCAACCAAATCAATCCATCAAAAAGTGTCAGACACTCAAAAGGGATCTTCAATATCTCTGGATCATACAGCTGCACCTCCAGTAATGTTGTGTACCTTATCCAGTGCAGAAAATGCAGCAAAGGATCTTATGTTGGTGAAACAGGTCAGAAGTTGCAAACAAGGATGAATTTGCACAGACATACCATCAAGAAACATAAAGAAGATGACTTCTGCACACCTGTGGGACACCATTTTGCACAACCAGACCACACAATGGGAGACCTCAATATTTTAGTTCTTAAAGGAAATTTCAAATCCTTTCAGGAAAGAAAAACTTTTGAACAAAGAATGATAATTCTATTTGACACAAGAGATAATGGCCTTAATTTGGACATGGGATTCCTCACTCATTATCCAACAGTTTTATGACTATCAGCTCAAGCATGACTGCCTCTGCTAATGTTGTCCCCCCCCCCCCCCCCCTTTGCTTTTGCTGTGTCTTATCTCTAGCCTCTTTTTTTTTTTCATCTCTTCTAACATTCTGCTAAAACTGTGTGATTTGTATAGTACTGCTTGGACCTTGAAGAAGGGGACACTCCCCGAAAGCTTGTCCTCAAAATTGTATGTTAGTGCAAATAAAAAAAGTATCATGGACAGTACTCAATTGTTTCTATGGTAGAATAGAAAAATCCGGTCAGCCGCACATCCAAAAAAATCATCTTTAGTTGGACATATTCAAAATAGACATTCCACAATGTAAAAAAGAGGGAACATGGCACTCCACTAATGCATTTCACGCCATCATCAGCGCTTAACCATAGCTGATACTGAAATGTTCACACAAGTATATATATATATATATATATATATATATATATAATATATATATATATATATACACACACACACACATACATGCACAGATGCTCCTAATGGTCTCTTGATTGTAAGCAATCTCGTGTGAAACAATGTATCAACAATTATCGATTGTTGGTGGTGTCTCTGAATCCAGAAAAAAAAAAAAATATAATAAAATCCTATAAAACCAATAACACAGTATAAAGTATCTCATATGTATGCAAATCATGTAAATGAACTACATAAACACACTGCATAGGAAATATTCCATACTACCCTAAATGGGTGTCAGCACACCAATAAAACAAACAGGGATAGGAAAACACTAACAACAACAGGAAAAACAAAAAAAGCAAAATATATAACTTACTATATAGTGTATATGTAGTAGGAAAGACAGACAATCTACATTAAAGAGATGTTATCAAAAATAAGCAAACCTGTTATTCATAACAGGCATTGGTTCATTGAATGAACATTTGATCCAGTTACAGCCATTAGTAATCAAATTACAGGGCTATCTTAAGGATACCAAGCAGTTGTCAGCTAGGCTTCAGAATTTTAAATGGCATCCTGATTATGTGTGGAACACATGTGATGTGACTAGTTTGTATTCTTCAATTCCCCATGTTCTGGGCTTGCAGGCTGTCTCATATTTCCTGAAGCAATCCAGCAACTATTCTCTTGTGCACCAGGAGTTCATCATGCAGAGTTTACAACAGGGGCGGACTGACAACTCATGGGGCCCCCGGGCAATAGGGGATCATGGGCCCCTGTGTCCTTGCCCAAACTCAAAAAAGCCTATGTAAAAGGTACCAGGGGCATCTCATGGGGCCCCTCACTGACCCCGGGCCCTCGGGCAGTGCCCGAGTTTCCATATGGTCAGTCCGCCCTGGTTTATAATACCTGTTAACACATAGTTTTTTTATGTTCGATGGGGACTGCTACCTCCAGAGGTGTGGGGCTTCTATGGTTTTTCCCATCCCTGGCCAACCTTTTTATGGGTTTGTAGGAGAGGTTCCGCATCTTTGGGACAAGCTGTCCCTATCGAACATTTTTTTAAAGCTTATTTTAGGATTTATTGATGGCCTACTGTTTGTTTGTTCCAGAGAGGTAGGTCATTTGGAAAATTGGTTTGATTGCCTGAATAACAATGAATTATGGGCCATATGGACACTGAGTCCATTTCTTTTTTAGACGTCACTCTGATGATTGAGGGTGGTCAAGTTACCTCTAAACTTTACATGAAACCATCTGCTGGTAAAGCCTTATTGAGAGCTGATTCTTTTCATCCCTGTCATATCATCAAGAACATCCCTGTTGGGTGGTTTTTGAGGCTACGTATGGTCTGCAGTGACAGCACTAATGTTGAGGAAGAAGCAGGGTTAATGTTGAAGAGATTTGAATCCTGAAGCTATTCCACACATATGTAGAATAGAGCCTTGGATATTGCTAAGGGCATGTCACATACCAATCTGTTAAAGGATATAAAGAAAATTAGGTAGTGTATATCCTAGTGTATATTCTAGCAAAGGTAGAACTCCTTCTCATTGCTTGCAAATTAAAGGCACCTTTCACTGTGGAGTAAACAGTTGTACATGCTGTCCACACATATATGGAGGAGATGTAGTTCAGTCCACTAGTACTAATAAAAGGCATAAGATTTTCTCCTTCATAAATTGCAACACAAAATATTTGATGTATGTTATCACTTGCAACCTCTGTTGCATACAACATGTGGGTCGTACTACTTGCTGACTGAGATACTGTCTGTATGACCATTTATATGATATAGAAAAAAAGACTCTACCTATGTTGCTAAACACTTCAATGAGTGTCATGGAGGCGATTCCGCATCTTTGCGTATACAGGGCATGGAGAAAATTATAGTTCCAAAGAGAGGAGGTGATAAATTCAGATTATTATGAAAAAAGAAGTCTTCTCGATTTTTACTCTGAACTCCAGGAAACTGTTAGGGCTCAACCATGAATGGGATGCTTCATATTATTATGAATAATGGGTTTTCTTATATTTGTTAGCATCTCTTTAACCATTTGCCCTCCAGAGGATTTACTCCCCTTCCTGACCAGGCCAGTTTTTGTGATATTGCACTGCGTTACTTTAACTGACAATTGTGCTGTCATGCAATGCTGCACCCAAATGAAATTTATGTCCTTTTTTTCCCACAAAAAGAGCTTTCCTTTGGTGGTACTTGATCACCTGTGCAGTTTTTATTTTTTGCGCTATAAACAAAAAAAGAGAGAATTTGAAAAAAAAAATATTTTTTACTTTTTGTTATAAAACATATCCAGTTAAAAATGTTTAAAAAATTAAATGTCATCATAAATGTATGCCATAATGTATTCTGCTACATATCTTTGCTTAAAAAATCCGAGTACATGTAATTTAATTTGTTTACATGAAAGTTATAGCGTCTACAAATGGTGGTAAATACAGTATACTGGAATTTTTTTTTTTACACTAGTAATGGCAACTTATAGCGGGAATGTGGTGGGCACATTCCCACACTGGGGGGGTGGGTCTGACTAACTACCACTGACATCCCAATGACACTAATACAGAGATCAGTGCTAATAAAAAGCACTGAAACTGTGCTAATGACACTGGGCAGGAAAGGGTTAACATCTGGGGCGATCAAAGAGTTAACTGTGTACTGTGCTGTGTTTTACATAATGTGTTATGTGTGTTTTATTAGGGAGACAATCTACTTTGTATTGCTCTGCTGTGTTTTATTGGTGTGCTGACACCCATTTAGGGTATTATGGTATGGGCAAATAGTATGTTATGTATATACACGAGTAATGGTATACCCAGGGGCGGACTGACAACAGGGCATCATGGGGCCCCTGTGTCCTTGCCCAAACTCAAAAAAGCCTATAAAAAAGGTACCAGGGGCATCTCATGGGGCCCCCTACTGACCCCCGGCCCTTGGGCAGTGCCCGAGTTTCCAAATGGTTAGTCCACCCCTGGGTATACCATATCACTATGCAGTGTGTTCATGCAGTTCATTTACATGATTTACTTTACTACATGATTTACTTACATATAAGATACTTTATACTGTGTCATTGGTTTTATAGGATTTTATTCTATTTTTTTTTTCTTGGTGATTGCTCTTCATCCCAGTAGACTCCTTGGAAGAGAGAGTTTATGTATGCAGGTGACATGCTTTTATCTTAATGATACAACATCTTCTCCCCCTCTCTCTTCCGCTCTTGCACCCATTGATTCTTTTGGGATCTTTTTCCTGTTATTACTTTTCTCAGTTATTCCTAATTCAGAAACCTGATCTTCAGACGGCCTCATTCTAATCCAGCTGTTACTGTCCCTAAGCGAATAGAGCTAGAGGGCTAGAGCTCAATTCAAATAGAATAATTCATACTTGCCACCACCCCATTATGAAGTAATCCCAATTTCCCTCATTTGTATAATATACTGAACCCTCAGCTCTGGGCTAACTACTCTAGTTAATTTTGACACTTTCAAACTCTTTTACCATATGTTTTTCTGATTTTGCAGCTTTGGCACACCATACGGGCACCACCTACACTGGTTTGGGACCCTCTGAAACAACTGCTATATGCGAATACCCTGACCAAATCACTCTCTTTCTTATACAGTGATCTGTTTCCGGTATACACTCCCCATGTGACCTCCCTCTTTAACGGAAGGAAGATATTCCTTCACTTTCTGATGAAGATTGGGATGTTTGTTTACAACAATGGTTGACATTTATAATTGCATCTAAAGTCAGGTTTATCCAACCTACGGTTTTTACATCATATATACTACAACCCCACAGACTGTCTTTCATTGACCCATCGACTGATGCTATGTGTCTTAAGTGTGGTATGGAAGTAGGCACCTTTATCCATGTATTCTGGACATGTCCTAAGTTACAGGATAATTGGAGGGAAGTGGTTCAAGCTATCAATGCTGTGGGGAGCCTTACTTTGCCTGACATTGACCCTCTTATTTTTCTTCTTGGTATTACTGACAATATTGAGACCTATTGCTATCATAAATTGTGAATTTTCTATACTGCTTTTTATGCATGGAGGGAGATCCTGTTGAAATTGAAATCTCAAACTGCTCTTTCTGTGCATGGGTGGAAGACTGCAATTAATGAGGTGCTGCCTTTGTATAAAATTACTTATGCTAGCACAAATTGCCCTAAAAATGTGATATAAATTTGGGCCAGTTGGATTGATTCTTACTCAAGGAATAATGTCCTTAGGCATCACGCCCCAACTCTATCATACTGGTTGCTGATCATTAAGTCTGTGGGAAACTCTCCTTTTGTCTATCATTCTCCTGTTTCTTCCCTA